TCGAGGTTCTCAGTTCTCCATATGTCACCGTTGTGGTTTCATTCCAGGCTGTCGTTGACATGTTGCCAGGGCTGTTGCCAATAAACTCCCGTATTATCAAGTGGCGTTCAGGCCAGCTTGGGAGATGGTCTTAGCTGTCACAAACCTAAAGTTTCAGATCCCAACTCAGCTCTAGCGACCTTGAGGAAGGACAGTCAAGCCTGCCTCGCAAGAATAGGAGCGTGCTGTGCCTGCATTGCTTCGCCGCATTGATGCGTGTGCCGCGGTCCTTTACCATGTTTCTTGGCATCTTCCCTTCTAGTGGGGTCTTGAAGGGAGCATCTTTGCTTGCTGTCAGGAGGTTTCACCGCAGTTCAATCCAAACCCAAGTGACAGAACAGGACATAATTAGGTGCCATAGCCGGCGAGTCGTTTGACAAGGCGCAAGGCAGGGCCACGCCCACTCGTCAGGCGCCGCCCACTTGCCAGGCGCCGCCCGCTTGTCAGGGTGGGTTGCAGTTTCTATTTGAACGTTTTGAAGCGCTCTGTGCGAAGATTGCACTTAGGGTTTGGGCTTAGCTTTTTAGACTCTGTTTTCGTGTATGGCCCATTTGGATTTGTGAACGGTCTTCAAGGTGAATCTCAACACACTTGCTTTTGGGCAGGTGAGTCTCACCCATCCATGGAACGGCACTTTGGGACTGTGCTGGACAAGTGAGACCTGGTACTCGGATCAATGCTAGAAATGCTGAGGCTCCCATCCTAAACTACAAAACAAACAGTAAACAACGTTTTTTTTTCTTCAGGTTTTGAACACAGCGCTAAACAACCGCATTTGCACCCTCCAAAATGAGTTTGACGGTGATGCTGAGATGTTTTTGATTGTGCAATGCAGCTGTACGGGATCTGAAGCAACCCAATTTTATGGCGAGCTTAACTGGGGATAAAACACGCTGGCCATGCGTCCCTTCTTTGGGGTTCTCTTATTTCCAATTGTAGACTTGGCGTGCATTTATGGATCAAAAGCTAAAGAAGCATTTGACGCATGCGGGCTTTGTGAGCGATTTTGAGCCGAACATGCAGGATCCGAAGGGGGGGGGGTGAGCCGAACATGCAGGATCCGAAAGCCGTCAGCGGATTTGTTCCATTTTAGGTTCGGTCAAACATTCCCGTTTTGTATGGTTCATTTGAATCTCTCGTACGTCATGCACTAGCATCGCATATGGCTGTTCATGTTTAGGCTCGGTCAACCATTCCCGTCCTGTATGGTTCATTTGAAGCTCTCGTACCCAAGTGCACTGGCATCGCATATGGCTGTGTCGTTTTTTCACGGGGACCGCCAAAAAATGGTGGCTGTCCTTTTGGTTTCCCCAAGCACCAAAAAACAAGGACCCAAGATATCTCTCTCCATGATGTTAGGGTTTGGGCTGGCTGAACTGTAGTTAGCATGACGGCGCAATCGATTTACAAGAACTTATGAGGATCAGCTGTCGACCTACCATTCCAGAAGTGGTCTGCACACTGCTTGAGGTGGTCGGCTGTGGACAATTTGTTGACTGTACTTCTACTGATGAGAGGGAGTGAGACACCTATTGCTCATGGGCTGTCATGATGTTGCCCTTTGTGCTTACTTCTCATTGGGTTTCCCTGTATATCCAATATACCGTGGCATGGGGATGTGTTGGTTGTCAACCAGCAGTATACGTCTCATCCAGCATGGCATGATGTCATGGGGTGCACATCTCCATGAGGAGGCAGGCGTGTCAGTCATCATGAAACACATTACTTGAGGAAGCCTCTACATTATGAATCATTATTGGGTGGGTGCCATGTTGCAATTTGCTTTGCAGTAAATGCCAGTGGTACCGTGCAGCTGTATGCTTTTCCGGATGTTTGTGTCGGAAGTGGATGTCGCCAGAATGAAATAGCATCATCAAATGTCGAGAGATATGTGGTGTTGCATGTGGGTAGGTCAAAACGGTGAGCCCCATTTGGGGTTAGCCCAGCTTTGGGCTGAGTGAGCTGCCTATCTGCTATGCAAGATTGAGTTGAGTCAGGCGAATCTGTTGAGCTATTTCCATGGGTTCCGAGAAGAAACCATTTCCGGACCTCGAACAGGTGTCCAGCCACTTTTCTGGTGGCGCGCCGCGCATCATTAAGCACGCCGTACTATGACTCGGCAAGGTTCCCTTGTCATTCTGCAGATTGTGCTTCATCAGTCTTTTGCACTTTTGATCGGATCAATCTTCCACATGCTGATGTTGCTTACAAGAGTGGTGCTTCAAGAACATAACACTTTCGATCTTGTATTAGCTCGATTTGTTTTTCTGGAACAAACTGGCCAAAACTGTACTGCGTTCTTGCTTTGGGATTTGTTATGCACACACACGCGCAGAGTTGAACTGAGCCAAGCAGGATTGTTGGCAGGAGGCACATCAGACATCCATCCTCCCAACAGACAGCCGTCTGCACGCATTTGGTGTTGGCACAATCTGGGGTGGCTGTTCGCGTGTTGTTTTAGCGCGTGGACTCAACTCTTTTTTGAACATGCTGACACTGCAGCAAGTCGTGGCATGTTCTGCTGGAAGATTTGTCCAATCTAGTCCCTCGGCTTAGAAAGGGAATGATGTAGGAAAGGTAAAGCAGGTAAACCAGAGGCTGTGGCCAGTGCTACGCATTCGCCTCGCGCCCGTTGTCGTTTGTGGGTTGGCAATCTCACTTGTTTCTGTTCCAAAGGGGTGTAGCTCGGCTTGAACGCTCGTGCATGACAAGCTTCACGCATGAGGGATGTTCCTTGCTAAGTGTGGAAGAGGCGATGCAGAGTTCGGCAATGGGAATCCGTGCGCCAGAAAGGGTCAGCCGCCTTTCCTAGGGATGTAACTTGTCTCACGGATTCTTGTCCGGGGAGCAAGAGTCTGACCACGACGCAGCGCCCAAGCGTCAAAAAAAATCACGGGCGGCTCTGGCAGCGAAGCACAGAAGACCTTGGTGTCCCGGCCAGCCAACGAAGCCTGAAGATTTTCGTGTTTTTGTTGGTTTGGTACAGTGCCGCTTGCCAAAACCAAGTAGATGTGAAAGAAGACAATGCCAAGTGAGCAGCCAGCGTGTTCGACATCCCAATTGACACATTTTTTGCAGTGTATTCTTTTAGTATTTGGGGGGAACTCTCTTTATGTCCCGTGTAGGCAAGTGTGGGGAAAACGATCGCGTAGGCAGTCCGCGTAGGCGCTTGGTTGTAGCGGAGGCGCTTTCAGTGTCTTACACACAAGCGGAGGCTTCGCGTAGGCAGGGCTGCCAGTGCGGGCCGATACACCAAAACACAGCTCTCAATTGTGCCAGTTCCATGTGCTCCTTCTATTGGCCCTGCAGCACCCGCCATCCATGCAAGCAAGCACATTGATCCAATTTTACCCCCTTGATCACAATGTAAATGATGACCTTAGATAATTCGGTGACAGGAATCGCAGGCACCTCCACTGGCATTGCTGATTTCGGGAACTTTGTGGTGAACGCTTTGCGGGCGTCTGTGCCAAGGTTTGCACTGATGCAAACGCACATGCAGCAAATGTTGTGCAATGCTTAGGCTGTAGTTCAGAGTGCAGCAGGCTCCACGCCCTTCCCAATGTTTCCAAAACCTTGCGAGCGCTCGTGGCTCCACTCCTTCCACACCCGTGCCCTTTCGCTGTTCGCAGCTGGCCATCACCCGTTGTCGCCAGTTCCCAGGAACCACTACGAAAGAACCGGTGGAAGCACGCCAGATTCCGCATGCTGAGAAAACCGCCTTGCCTCGCGCTTCGCGCAATCTGGAGACCTCAGCGCTTGCCAACATCCGGCGCCGCAACCGGCTTTGCCAGCTGAGCTTGCAGTCGCACTCCTCCACTTGCAAATGCGCAAGTGTCAGAGGCATGAAACTTGTGGCAGTGCTTTGCCACGAATGGCAACCAGTCAGCCACTTTGCGGCATTCCCCGCTAGCCATATTCATGTTCCAGTGTGAGTTTCCAGACCATACTTGGCAACCTTCCGTGGGCTGAGCCTTTTCTCAGCAAAAACGGATCAAGTGGAGCCAGCACTTGTGAATAGTTCGCAGCTGGCTCGCTGACTATCTGGCTGGCTTCGGAAACAGAGCGCACCCTGCCCGGGCTGTCAGTTGCAGCGCCGTCGCCGGAACGATCAGGCTGCAGGTTTTGAGGACTAGCCGCGCGGGTCTTGCAATTTTACATGTAGCGCACACGCCGCCTACATGTGCGACAGCGTTTCTTTTTTTTTTTTTTTCCTTTTCCTCCGTGTTCGAAGGCCTTGCGTTTGGTCCCAGTCGGGGGCTCAGGCTGGACTAGCTGACGGCATGGCTTGCCGGCCCGCAGCGGCTCCAGCTTCTTCTGGAGGATCGGGCACTTGCAGCGGATCGTCTCGTGGAGGTGCCGCTTTTTTATTTGCGCCTGATGCCACTGCGGCGAGTCCAGCGCCGTCGTCGGCTCCACGCCGGGCAGCTGGTAGAAGTCCCCGACGAAGGCCAGGGTCGGGATCTTCTCCGCAACGCGCCGCGGCGTGATTGGCCTACCTCCTCCACGACGATCAGGTCGTAGGGCCACGTGACCTCCAGTGCCTCGTGGTCCGGCTTGTAGGCAAGGAACGCCCCGTGCACGGTGTCCACCTCGAGCCCCGGGAGTCGCTCCCGCAGCGTGGCAGCCGGTCGCCCGGTCGGGGCGGTCAGCACGCAGCCCCTCGCCGACCGACTCCAGCCCCTCTGCGAGGCTCCGCCGCCGGCTCGTATTCGTTTTGTCGAGCTCGCCGTGAAGGTAGCGCTGGATCAGGCCCTGGTTCGCAAACAGCATGGCCGTGATGTTCCGGATGTGGCGCTCTTGGAACGCTTCCAGCTCCAGCTCCACGCGGATGTTGGCTGCGCTGGTTCAGTGGTGCGGCCGCAGCAGGTACACCATCGCCTGGTAGTAAAAATGTTCAGCAGGGCCCGCCCGCAGCACTCGTCGTTGTAGCACGACAGACACATCGCGGCTACGGCGACCTGCGCTGCGGGCCCAGGCCGCGGGTCGTGTTGGGGTCCGCGGCCACCTCCTCGTGGCGGCGTTCGAGCTTCTTGTGGATCTTTCCTGGGCCGTTCATCTTCCGGAGGAACTCGATAAGAGGCATCGCGTCCGCGCCGCCCGCTGCTCACGCTGCAGGGTGCTGCCCGCGAAGACCTGCGGGAACCACTGCGTTGCCAGCTGCAGGGTCATCTCGGCTGCGGAGTCCGTCGTGAAGCTGTTTTCGGGACGGCCTCGATGTGGCGGAGCCAGACGAGCATGTGCAAGTGGACCGTGCCTCGGCCCTAGCAAAACTGCGTGGCGGTTTCTTGCTCGTTGACGTAGCGCTTGCGTTTGCCGTCCTGGTGTTCCAGGCGGCCGCAGAAGTTGAGGACCGTCCGTCTGCCGGAGCCGTCCTTGGCGCTGAAGATGTTCCACCCAGGCGTGGGCCGGGAGGCGCGACCGTGATGAACAGAGTGGGCTGGCCGAGCTGTTTGACGGCGTCGGCCAGGGTTGTGTGCCGGCTCTGCCGGTACTCCGGTAAGATCGCCTAGCCCCCCATGCTGCGCCTGGACGGTGTTCTGGTGGGCGCCGAGGCTGCTCCAGAGCCACAGGTCGCGTACGAATCGGATCAGCTCTTAGTCCGCGCCGTCGCTGTGCTGCTTCTGGGCGCTCAGGTCTGACGGCTCTGCGCGGGCGGGCATCTGCGCGAGTTGCTCTGCGCAAGTTGCCCGGGTTGCTCTGCGCAAGTTGCTCCGCCCAAGCCGCCCCGCGCGAGTTGCTCTGCGCAAGTTGCTCTGTCCCAGCTGCTCTGCGCAAGTTGCTCTGTCCCAGCTGCTCTGCGCAAGTTGCTCTGCCCAAGCCGCTCTGCGCGAGTTGCTCTGCGCAAGTTGCTCCGCTTTATGCGGCGCGAGGGCTACCGGCGATCTCCCCGCGAAACCTGAAGTCCCCAGAAAGTCAAAACGCGCTCGGGTTGCCCTGCCAGGAGAGGTTTCCCGTGGGATTGCCTAAGGGGCCCCGAAAACGCAAACAATCCCTTGAAAGTCGGCGTTTATGCCGGGGAGTCGTCCCCGCCTGGGGCTCGCCCCGAGCCTCGGCGACGAGCGCGGGTTGCGCCCTTCCCTTCCGCGTTCCCGCTCGCATA